TCTCTTTCATTGCTTCCTTCCTGTCAAAACCCAGTAGGGCCAAAAGTGGTCATCACAGCGGCCAAGCCCAGCTGCTACACCCCCCTACTGAGGAGCAGGCTGATAATGTTCTCTTCAGCATGTTAGACATGAGCTATTAGAAGCCCAGGAATAGATCCAGGCTCAGGTTTCCTAGATGATCTATTTGTTTAACCTGGTGGGCCAGCTGTGAAAGTGAGGACATATTCTAATACTCAGTGGTGACATCTGAAACAAAGGGGAAGCTCCTATGTAAACTTTTAATTAAACCCTATTTGCAGGTGTTGTTGTGGCATGCAAATATTGTTATCTTATTAGAAATTATATACTATAGATACTTTAAAAGTATGTGGAAAAATTGAGAGTGTCTTTAGTAAAAGAGAATTTAAATGTTACCCAACAGATATAAAATTAAGAAAAAAATGAGTGATACAAAGCCACCTGGGTCAAGGGGTTCATGGTAAAATGTGGACATTTGCTTCTTAGGTGTCCAGTTCTAAACTGTGCAAAGGATATTAACTTCTAGTTACCATCTGTTAACATCAGTTGGATGAGTTTGTTCTGCCTATAACATGGGCAAGTGCTTATCTTACTAACCTAGAAGTGGTGTAGATCTGCTCTGCCTGAGCAAATGAGAGTCTTGTTCTTTTTGTGGCAACAGAAGTATGATAGGGGTTCCAGAGGGTGGGAAAATCCATGGAAACTTTTTTAATATGCCCTGAACTGTCTCTCTGTGTCGTGTTAGAAGTCAGGACTTCCAGTGTGACAGAAAGAAGGAGGCTTATTCACCACCTTTAGTTCCTACTCACTGTTACAGGGTGGCTTCTTGGTCTGTGTGTTTTTCCCCTTATGCTTTTTTCTATCTTTTATTAACATGAAAAAGGTGCATCAAGTGTTTTGATTTTGAAGCCAGGTGGGAGAATGCAGTTCAATTAAAGGATAGGTTGTCTCTGTAGATATTCCTATTTAAATTTTGGGAGCATGTGGAGGCTTCTCTGAGATGCTCATCACTTAAGGTTGTTTCAAGGCACTGATCTATGGGTCAAGATCTTAAGTAAACAGTAATTTAGGACACTAGTGAAACATCAGGGTTTAATTTACTATTTGTCTGCCTTTCTAAATATATAGACTAATTTTTTTACCTCAAAATTTACTGTGTGATTTTATCAGTGCTATAAACCACAGTGAAGTTTCTCATGTGAGTAATAATTTCATTGTTGGTCTCAACATCCTAGTTGTTCACAGAGCTGATTCAAGACACAAAGAGGTAGTGAACATAAATTTTTCTGCCTTAATGAAAATAACAACATCACTTCTGCTATGAAAAGGGAAGGCAGAAAGGTAGCAGAGTTGAGGTGGAAAGAAAGCAGAGGAGATCTGTCCTACCATGCCCATGAGGGGGGTGGGGAGTGACAGCAGTTGGGGCAGTTGTGGCTGCAGAAACAAGCTCAGTGTGAGCACCAGCCATACACCTTAACTCTTTGATGGCAGCAAGTCTGGCACCAAGATCATCATATAGGCAAAGCAGGCCTGATCACTGACTTGCATTCAGCAGGAGATGACCTCAGGTAGTGCCTGATCTATCTGTGTCAGGAACTAAGTGTGATCATAGTGATCACCCTTCAGCTGCATCTCTGCAGCATGGCAGAGGTCTCCAGCATGGTCTTTGGTTTTCCCACTCAGAACCAGGAACCACCCCTGATCCTCAGGCAAATGAGCAATGCAGGAGCAACCTTAGAAACTCATAGTTTGACACTCTTGGCCTGACAGGACAAATGCATTTTAAGGGCAGTTTGCTGCACAATGACATGTGCTGGTTGTGCTGGGCTTTGGTCACTCTGGGGGACAGCAGGAGCCAGGCCTAGCACCCCTCACCCACAGAGATGTGGCCCCTCTGTGTGGCTGATGCCCCAGCCCTTGCCCTGGCATGCCTGAGGGTCGCAGCACCCACTGCTGGGGTGATGGGCTGGCCTGTGTTACCATGGCAACTGGCAGATGGGGGGCTTCAGCAGGGGCAGCGGGGAGGCAGCCGCGGCAGCGCGCTGGCCGAGCTGCTCAACAACAGCCCTTTGAGCACTGACAGCTCCGCTCTGGCTGGCCAGAAGTAGTTATCAGATTACTTGTATTAAAACCTAATTAAGATGTGTGCCAGTAAATGCAGCATGATTATTGGATTTGGTGATTTAGCTGCTGCAGGTTGCTGCAATCCAATCACGCCATTTCAGCAAATCCAGCTCTGTGGAGTAAAGTGAAAACGTTTTACATCAGTAACCTGACTATCCTGAAAGAGTAAATAACCTTTTAATGCTTCTACTATGTCAAGGACTGACTGATACCCACTGCAGAGTGAATGGGTACTGCCCACAGATCCTTGCATATTAATTTCCTTCAAATCAACATTAAAACCCAGAGGAGGGCTGACAGGTTATGTCAGCTTTTACCTTCATTGTGGATTGCCTGTGGATTAATGGGTCTGAGTCTCCCAGGACAGGGAGCTTGCAGCCTGAGTCCTGCGGGTGCTCCTGCTTTAGCTATGTGTTGTTATAGAAAAGAAAGCAGCTTTTGTTTTTATCTGTAGGCCACACATAAGGGGAAGTTTAACATGGTGGGTGCTAGTTCAACTTTGGAGTGTTGGATGCAACCGAAGTTTATTCTGCAGGTGGAATTCACCTTGATGCCAAAGCTGTCCTTTGTGTTTGATGTTTCACCTCATTCCTGCAGGGTCTTGCAGTGATTGTCTAGCCATACCTGAGAAAGTGTAACAAAACCCTATCTATCACTTTTCCCTTATTTTCTGGACAGCCTGGGGTATAGCCTAGTCTCAGATGCAAATTTCACTGCCATGTGAAGTCTTCTGCATGTTGTAATTGCACAAAAAAGCAGGGTAGGTTGGAGCCATTCTAACATAAAAAGCTGCCTATGAGTTCCAGGTACTGAGAATCAGAGCAAAACATTTACCTTGAAGCTTTCACTGCAGCTTGTGATGCCTTTGGTTGTGTTCTCTTTCTGTGGAACCACTCATCTCATGGAACTGTCTCCTGCCTCCATATAGAAATTGGGATTGGTTTGAAGTGGTTAATGGGAAATTATGTGAAGGATATTGTTATTACTACTGACTGGGAGCTTTCTCCTTAGTGCCAGGCTGTCCTGTGGATAGTCCAAACATGGTGCCATGGTTCATGAGCTACATTTTCACCTTGTGCCTTGAAGTAATGTGACAGAGCACGGTGTCAGTCCCTGTCCTCCAACACAGCCAGGCCAAGGGGGAGCAGCTGCATGCCATCCCAACTGGACAGATCTTGACACTTTGGTGGGAAAATGACCTCATTTAGACAGGAGGGGCACAGTGGTCACTCAGATGCTCAGGACACAGTACATTTGCCTGGTAGGTGCTGTTGCCAAAGTGAATGTGGCGACCGTGCAACCTCCCTCACTCGTATTAGCAAAATGTGCAGAAGGTTCTGTCACCCAGTTGTAAAAATGATGGCAGGCATCGATGTGCAGTTGTAACATATGGGAAGTACAGTGAATGTGGGTGGAGCTGTTCATTTCTCATCTTGAATCATTTACGAGATCAGCAGGCAGGCCAGATACAATGCATATGGGAATGTGTGGCTGTGCTGCACATGTCACACGTAATAGCAGATACTGTGAGAGGGCCCAGAGCCTGTCCTCAGGAGCTAAACGCAGCAGAGCAGGCTGGGAGTCCCAGTGTGTGGACCAAGGGCCAGCTTGGCAGCAGTTTTGGGAGAGCAGACTGGCAGACAGAATTTGGGAATTCACAAATCCAGATCTGCATTGACTAGAACTGCACCCTTTTCATCCATTGTGGCCCAGAGTTGTAGATCATTATGTTATTAAACCTGTAGTCAAGCACTGGAGATACAGATGATAAGGTTGTGGCCTGCTGGTCAAACCCAGCTCAGTGCCTGTGTCATCTTTCTCCCTCTGCTCAAGGAGACAGTCTAAATGTAACAATGGGTGGTGAAGTTACAAGCAGAAAAGTGTAATTGATTATTTCCATAATTAAACACTTTTCCATTCACAGCAGTGTATTCAAAAGGACATAGAGCTTCACAATAGAGCACACTAGGCCTTGTGTCCAATAATATTTTTGAAATTTGCATGGGCTACCTGTGATTATCTACTAAAAATTATTGTTCTGATGTAAAATTCACATTAGTTGGAAATTGCTTCTGACTGGATGCCAGGAGTAATAAACAGTCACTGGAGGAATAACAAGTGATACCTGCTTTTGTGATTAAAGAAATAAGTGTGCAGTTGACCTGTCTTACAGCACTGTTGTCCCAACTCAGGCACTTGTTCTTCCAGTGTAATCAGAAAGCCTCTGCATGTTTCTTCTGATACCTGCCAGCTTTTTCCCTCTGTTTTGCAGCCCCTGATGAGGAGGGACTTTGGAATGATGGGCTCTTTACATCTTTCCCCAAGAATCCCTGTTAGACTGTTAAAGGATCTATGCTGACATGCTTAATTAACACTAAGCTTACTTGAAATAAGTGCTATGTTGTGTAATGAGTTTTGGACATTGACCAGCTTGCAAAGAGCAGTGGACAGAAAACAGAAGTTTTTGTCACTTCAGGTCCAGTTTGTCAGGGAATTTGGGTATTTGGTTTTATAATCTGGGCTACTGCGTGTGTTTCAAGAAGACAGTTACTGAAGCAGATACAGAGTGTGCAGCTTGCTTAGCTGCAGGTGTTGGGATACACTCCTGCAATCTTTACTGATATCACAGCAAAGCAGATTTGCTGTCATGTCCTCATAAAGCTTCTAAATTAAAAGTGCAGACCTTTAAAGTGCTAATTTAAAGTGTGAAAATACATTTAAAGCCCATCCTAGGAGTAATACTTTAGTCTCAGCCCAACCACCAGCCTAAACTGCCACCACCAGTGCAAAGATCAAAGCTTTTTCCGTGAACTCCAACTTCAGATGCTCTGCAACCCTTTTATCTATTTCTTTTCCAGGTTACAGGAGCTTGACAAGCACTGCCAGGCCACTGCCCAGCAGTTAGTGGAGTTGCTCAACAAACAGAATCAGCTCTTCAAAGAGAAGCACCTGCTTACAGAAGAGGTGCAGTTTCTGAGAACACAGGTACTGTGCCAAAAGAAAAGAAAGTCTAAGAGGAACATTCTGCAGCTTTAGCAGAGAAATCTGCCAGCAGTCTGATTTCAACTGCTGGATTTTGTTGCTGTTGTTCTTTTAAATATAGCATTACCTTATAAAAAATAAAATAAAAATTCACACAATTGGAAAGGTAGCTGAACCTGACTCTCAAATCAAAACTAAATAAAAAAAAGTGTTTTGAAGTGACAATAAAAAAGCAGAAGTTATTCTCAATGACAGTTCTTAACTTCTTGGCTGAAGATTTTTGTGTTGCTTTTTCAGAGAAAAGGGAAATCTGTTGTTTAACATCATTAATGTTTAAACAGTTACTTGACATTGATAATTGCTTAGAGGTTTTACTGCGATTTGTCAGACTAAAGTCCTTCTATCACTTAATGATTTTTTTTCTTTATTTTAAAAAGTTATTTATTTTTTTTTGCTGCTCAATGACCACTCATGGTAAGACTCTTGGGTTTGTCCTGTGCAGAGCCACTAGTTGAGCTTTGATGATCCCAGTGGGTCTCTTTCAACTCAAGATGTTCTGTGATTCATGCACCCAGATGTGAGATGGTAAAGGTACAATCAGTCTTGCCTGAGCACTCATCACATCTCTGTTTCTCCAGCAGTTCTGATTGTTGCTTCCAGTGGTCCCTAGGAAGCTGTGGCTTCTTATGGGCTGTTCTGGCTTTTTTTGTTTTGGCCGCTGCTCTTTGGCCAGTAAGTGCTTTGGAAATAAGGGAGAAGACTGCAGGGCTGGGTTTTTTCTTTTTTCTTCTTTCACTTTTTTTTTTTCAGAAAAAGGAAGAGAACTAACAAGCACAGAATGAGGTTTTCAGTAAAACTATCAGATAATCAAACTCAAGGTTGAATTAGTGTATTTACTTAGTTACAAAGCAAATTACAATGCTTTCTAACTTTCAAAGTCGTGAGTTTGCCCAGGATAGTTGGAGTTTGCTTAACATGGTAACAAAGGACATTCAGTGTAGGAAATTTAGTCCAGTAGCACACCTAACAGTAAACAGAACATGAATTGGCTTAGAACTTTAAAGTACTTAAATCATACTATTTTTGTAGGCTTTTTATGTGTAGAAGTCAGTAAATGTTTAACCTAGGAGAATAAAATCCATACTTTGTTAAGCCCCTAATCATGTCCATGTGTTCGGTTTTACAGGACTTCCTGTTCTAGTAGACAAACTCGGTGGCTTATGGCAGTGTAAGGTTATCAGCATGTAGTAACTACTGGCAAATTTTAGGGCAACCATAGTGTTCTCTCTATAAGAGAGGTTCAGGAGGTGGTTGTTCCCAAAATAAATTAAAATTCCTGCTTTCAGAAAAGCACTCTTGGTAATGTGAACAGCCTTTACATGGTCCACAGGGATTTTGTTATTGATAATCTATTTTATCTGGAAGTGATTGTGTTTTTATGGAGTTGGGCAGAAGTACAAAAATCATACAAAAGAGGAAAAAATCATTCAAATACTAAAATTTCTATCAATACTTGACTGGCAAAAGCTGCCTTCTTTATGTTCATTACAAGTTAACTGTGCTCCAGAGGGCACTTTTTAAGTTGAGAACACTCAGAAAAGAAGAATGATAGAAAAAACTATTACAGAATGAGCCCTAAAAATCTATGTGCAGATATTTAAAACAATAGTGGTTCTCTGGGACCTGGAATTCAGCCCAAAAAGCTGCATTGGTTTAAGGAAACTGAAGAGCAGTTCACCATAAATGGAAGCTCTTTGCAGAAAGATTGCCTTTAGTTAGTATAGAAATACTGAAACCAAACAACTGCATAGTTAATGTTGATCAAAGGTTAAAGTGACCTCATATTCCACATTTTACTGTATTGTCCAACAATACAGTAAAATGCAGTTTATAATTAACCAAGTTGTTGGAGGTTCTTTTGTGGGGAGGGGAGGTGGAAGCCTCAGCCATTACCTAATCTTTTAAAGATGATGTAAAATACACTAAGCTAAATGTGCTGTTGTATCTCGGAACATGAGCCTGTAGTAACTGCAGTTGCATATTTCAGGGAAAAAAATGGGATGCAGATCTCAAACAGGACACAGATGGAATGAAGTAAAAACCTGGATGAATAAAGAGAAATGAGCAGAAGTAGGTATTTTTTTCTATATCCTATATATAGAGTGGGGGGGAGAGGAAAGAAGAGCACTACTAAAACTATTTGCAGATGTGAGTTGAATCTGGCAAACACTTAAAGACAAAAGGAAGAAGGAAGTGTTTGAAACATGTTCGGGTTTGAAACTGTTGAAGCTTTTTGTGCTTTGATTTTTTCTCTTTAAGCACATAAAAATTTAAGGACAAGCACTCAATAGCAAGGACAAGTTTACCTAATAGAATTTAATAAAAAAAATCCTAAATATGTAAGTTGAAGGGAAAGGGGGATGTACAACTCTTAGCTAGGTGGGAACTTCTGGAAGATCTCAGATTTAACCCAGGTACTTTTTGTCTGGATAGTCACTAGGTGTTTGTCTTTTGATTGGAATGCTTAGTTTTGTTGCTTCCAGTATTTTCTGTCTGAGGAAGCTTGAATCATCACTATCTCTTCAGAAAGGCTGCAAATGGGTTTGTAATAAATCATAACAGATAGTGTCACATTGAAAGAAACATTATCTAGATATTTGTATTTGGAGCAGTGCTGTCATGTTACAGTAGTGCAACATAGCTATAGGTGTTCCTACTGCCTTGTAAGAGTTACTAAACTTTTAAAGTTTAAAGAAGTTAAAATTGCATCATTTACTTGAATCTAGCTGACCTACTCAACAAACCTAACAAGCCCTGAGCCTTGATAGGATTTGTTTTCAAAAGTCAGATTACTTCCACTGTAGTTTTTATTTCTAGTGTTACATGTTTTTTGTATGGGGGGAAAGACAGCAGAAAGAAAAAAAAAAAGGTCTTTCAATTCTACATTCTGGTGTGTTGAGAGCATGTTTTTCTTGGAAAACTCATTTGATACTGTAAGGAAAATTCAGGGTTTCAAAGGAAAAAAAATAATAAAAGAAGTACCTGATCCTGCTGTAATGCTGCATTCCTTTACAGGCTACATGAGCATATTCAGGACCTTGCAAAGGTAATCAAATTTTAATTATGGGATTTACACCTCTCATTTTGAAAGTTTTTGTAACACTCAGGTTTGGAATTTCTACCTTTGAAAGTCTCTTGCATAGTGGAATTCACCCTAAGGCAGGAGGATAGAGATATTTAATTACCTTAGTACATAGGTGTGAAATAGAGAATACTAAATAAATGTGCACAGAAAGCAAACAAACATGTAAACAGAGATTGCTGGAAACCTCAGCACCCCCCACCAGGCATGAGTGTATCTGTGAGAGCTGGGATGCCTCTCTTGCAGGATCTGCCTTGGTGTCCATCAGTTTGACAGAAATCAGTATTTGTCCCGGTGGATAATCCCCTCACAGCCCCCGGCTGCCAGAAGGGGTTGCTGGCCAGCTGAGCCAGTGAGAGCACAGACGGGTAGGATTTGGACCTTGAGGATTACTTCCAGCGAGGGCTGTCATCCTGTGCTGCTGCTCTGACTTCCCATGAAGATCTCCTCCTGCAAGCCAGCCTCTCCCTGGCCAGGAACCTGCACCCTCCCTGTGCTCTCCGTATGGCTGAGCCTCTAAAGCTCTCTCCTCCCTCCTTGCAGATGTCTGTGTCACAGTGAGCGTGTCTGTGAGCTGATCACCCTCCTTCCAAAAGGAAGTTAAAGTACACTCACCCGTGCCTGTGTTCCCATCCTCACCCCAGTCACTCAGAAGGAGGCACTGTCAGAATTACAGCTGGTCTGGAGCAGGGGTTTTCTTTTCTTTCTTGTGTCAGCAGGAATTTTCAGTGAGACCCCAGTGGTTAATGCAGCAGTGTTCCCAAGTGCTCTGTTTGCTTTTTATTTTTTATTATGTATTACAGAAGGGGGAGCCTTATTTCCAGCAAACAGGTAGGTCATCCATCTCTGCTGTCAAAAGTGATTCAAGCTGATCCTTACATGGCTTTCAACCTCAGGAGACCTGAAGATTGCTTTGGTTATTAGGAGAGAGCTTTTGTTTTAGTGTAGTCTTACTGCACAAAGATGGTGTCTCTGCCAGGTGTTTTTAACAACCAGTGACAGTCCACAGATGGAGTTGGTGGATGTTGTGGGTTTTTTTAAGCAGATGAAAATCTTCACTTCTGCTTGAATGGAGTTTAATGTGAAGTGATGCAAGTTAAACCATGACAGGAAGGGATAAAGATAGACCTCTGTTTGATGTCTGACTGCCCTGACATGAGGCTTCAAGTATTCAGCTCCTCAGTGTTTGTGCATCTGCAGCTGTGGGAGTCCTGTACATCCCGTCCCATGCCTGGCTACTGGACAAAGCTGGGCACCAGCTGAGGAGTTGAGCCTGGCCCTGCTGGGAGTTCCACCTTGGGTTTTACAGCCATGCAATGGAGGATTGAGGCACTGAAGCCACCTGAGTGCTTTCTAATCAAACAGAAAGTCAGTTGTTCTTCCCTCCTCCCATATTGCTGGCAGGAATAAAATAAACCAGTCAGGCATCTGTAGTTCCCCTCCTACAAACCCTTCCAACGTGTACATCTAATACCCAACCAGCCCCTTAAAACAGATGCCACTGAGCTAAGGAGGGAGTGTCCAGAGGAAACTGGGCACTGTGTGCTGCAATGTTCTCTGCACTGAAAAACCAAAATATTCTAGGGAGGAGGAGAAACTAAGACTGGAAAGGCCCTTACCCTGACTGTCCAGTAACTAACTCGTTTACCAATTACCTGAATGTGACAGTTGTGCCCATTTTGTTAGAGAACAGCACACCTTCGATGACAGCTTTAGTACTTGGGCCCTGGGTCAGTGGGGTACAGAGACTCTGACAGGATTGGTGTTTGCTTTGTGAAGAGGTTCAGGCCAGGCTGGAGTCAGATTTGCCCACTTCATCAATCAGGCTGAGGTTCTGCATCTCACAAAGCATTAGCACTGGGAAATTGTGGTGTGGAAGGACAGTCACAGCAGAAATTTCCAGGAATTCAACTTCTTCAGGAGTTGAGGCTTTGGGGTCCTTTTAAGCCCATACTCTAATGCTGAGGGTCACTGCAGCACAGAGTATGTTTCCTCTGGTTGTCACTACCCAGGCACTTGGGTAGTGAAATGGAATTTAAGCCCTAAGGCTTTGCATTGCCACAGTTCCTTGCACTGGTCACAAGCACAACTGTAGCAGTTGATGTTGGTGCATGCATTTTGGGGGAAAAAATCACCATGTCACTGTTTTTCATTCTTTAATGAACTGCAGCTTTATCAATTTTCTTTAATTCAGCCTAACCAACCAAGGGGGGAAGGAAAAAAAAACAAAACCCTTCAGTCTTCTAATGCAAAACCAGCCAAAGTAGAAAGTTTATTTTTATTTCTGAGGTCATGTACATCTCTTAAATTCAATTTTTAGTACTGCAGTGGCTTAATTCGAGGTAGCTCCCCCATCTCCAATAGTTTGATGTCTTGCTCAATTCAGTCCTTAAGTGCTACCGAGGAAGCACAAACAACAGCTATGCAAGAGCTTCAAAACTGCAAATTAGCCTTCCCACCAGAGGTTTCCTACTGGCACCAAGGCAACAGTTTCCTGTTTTGCTACAGCTGCCCGCCCCAGACACACACTGAACACTGCACAGTAAATACCCTCTGGCAAAACCCTGCCATCTTCTTCTTGGAAGGGAGAAGGGACAGGATCTTAGACGTGCCCCAAAACAAGAGCTCACTTATTTACTGCTAAACAGGAGCCATGTCAAAAGCTCATGGAGATCCTGTTTTTCAGAAATCAGATATCTCTTGTTCTTGCTACCTGTAAGACTTCTGAGCTTAGAAAGAGGTGAGGACAGCAGGCCCACAGGAAGTGCAGGCTTTGAAACTGTACTTGTTTACTCTGCCTTACTGCAGTCTTAACCAGTTTTTATTTCTCTTCTAAGAACTTGCCTGCAGGCTGACGTGACACAAATGAGAAACACAGGCACTGCCATACACACTACCCATCTCTTCCTTTTATCTTTCAGGTCTGCTCTGCACCTGGCTGAAACTTGTCTGAGGCTCACCCAAAGACACCTCTGCAGAAAACAGGCACACTTGCTAGCTAATTTCAGCTGGTTTCTATTTGGTTTTAACTACAGAATCACAAATATTTTGAAGCCTTACCAGCCTACCAAACTTTCTAGGATGACAGTTGAGACTTTTCTGAAAAGACTAGGCTTGCAAGCCAGTTTTAACAGCTATTACATAGTGTGGATGTCAATAATTTGTACAATGTTTATAAAATGTTTTTATCTATTTTCATAATTGAACATACATGTCTATATTATTTACAGACTGAAATACCAATAAACCTAATAGGTTCTCTAGGTTCCTTGTTCTGTCCCTCTGAATTCAAGGGAAAGCATGTGCAGGGGGAGGAGGGAGAAGGGGGCTGTTTGCAAGTGCTGCACATGTACACTGCCCTCCTTTTTACAAACTCAGTACCACAATATACCTGGGAACTTTAATCAACAGGATATTTGTCACTTTCATATAAAAAGTGAGAGCCCCAACAAGTATTCACTAATCAGAAAAGCGTGAGAAGATTGAGAAATATTCCATCTAATGTGGGAGAATTTCCATGGGTCAGGTTCCCCTTTAAAACATTCACTGAGCAAGGCCTTTAAGAGAAAAGAGCCCTTGATTATTACAGAGGAGCCATTACAAGAGGTGATGGGCTCCACACTGAAGTGGTGAAACTGGACTTTTGCACCAGCACATAGTCAGGGCACCAGCTGAACTTGGCTTTAAATTATTGAACTGAGAACACTTGGAGGGTAGAGGTGGAGGGCATTTTTTTCTGGTTAACTGTGCACTCATGTTTTTCAAGGTTACTTTTCAAATACTGAACTGTTTTAGAAAGAATTTTTCTGAGTATTTTGCTATCTAGTGTAGGATAAGCTACACACACAAGAGAAAAGTTTCTACATCTATTGTTTTCAATGTAGTTGGTAAAGGGGGTGAAAAAAAGCGCAAAGAACAGTTCCCCAGCAATAAAGCTACTTCAGCCAGCATGAACACGGAAAACATAACAAAAAAATAGAGTAACAACACATGCAATAAATTACCATTGGGTGTGGAACACAATCCTTCCTTCCCTTATATTTTAAGAATTATTAGTGGTACAGCCCTAACATCAAAGTGATTTTTCCTCCCTATTTCAATTTCCTGCCATATAAAACTGCCAAACACATCTGATCGCCTCCCTGAACAGCTTCACAGATACGACACTGAGCGTGCTGAGAAAGGCCCCAGGTCTTTAGGGAGAGGAAAGGCTGCTGAAGGAAAGCCCTCTCTAGTCAAACTCAGGATTTTTCACAGTAGTCAGGCTGACAGCTTTTTACGTGTCACTACTTTATAGATGGTTACACAGTTAAGAATATACATTTATAAATGTAGGAAATGCAAACTCTATTTTTTATTATTCCACAGCATAAACCTGTGTTTAAATAGGAGACAGTGCCTATAGGCTACGTGTGCAAAGGAACTCGGGCACCTATTCCTGACACTTAGGCTTCACTGAGACCCTGGAGCACATCGGGACCCTCAACCTTTCTGGACTTGCCTCACCTACCAGGTGGCTGCTGGTGGCCACATGCAGGGCCCCACTGCCAGCCACCCACGTGCATGTACGAGTCTGGTTTCAACAAAGGGTCCTGGGCTGCCAGTATATATAGCTCAAAGTGGGTTTTTCATACTCATCCCAGGCATAGGTGCAACTATTGTGTTGCTGGGAGTCCACAAGGGATAACTTCCCCTGCAGCAGTTACTCTACTTTGTAGCAATTAATAAGTCATTACAGCACCAGGCCTACCTGTCTCATATCCCTCCCCACCTTCTCCTGCGTCTACTTAAGCACTAAATGCTTGGTTTTACAAATTTTACAAGTATCAGACCCGATGATCAAATCCAGGTCAGCACAGAGAGTGTGATACCACAACACAGGATTCAGCCTGACCAGATAGTCCTGTCACTGCTGCAGTTTTGTCCTGGTCACTGACATCCTGATGCCACTGAACTAACGGATGGCTGTCTCCCTGAAGCTCTTTCCTGTTATAAGGTGGGCAAGGAGAAAAAAAGGAGGGAAAAAAGAAAGGAAAAAACCTGAGACCTGGATGAAGCACCTCTATTCCTGAGAAGCATTCACGTCAGAGAACAGAAAACCCGGATGACCCACTGCTTTAGAGACACTCAGCCCTCCAGACTGGCTGCTTCAAACAGCCCTGGACCAGCCCGTGGGCTTCAAAGAGTCCCATTCTACAGTGCCCTGCAAATCCCACCTTCCCTTTCTTCCATCTCCTTGCCTAAACATTGTCTAGCTGTGGGATGTGAGGCCAAGAATTTCATCAGCTGAAAATCACTAAATGGTGGATGTTCTGATAGGAGCATATCTTCAAAAGTATAACCCAAAATTATAAGTGACATACATCTCACAGAGTTAACAGGAACCACCTGTATGGAAACAGCCTCGGTCCAAAGCACAGATACATTTTGCTTAGTCATAAAAACTTTTTTTTTGACAATACTGTAACTTAATCATTTACAAGCTGAAACTGTTCACCCAGTATCTGAAATATGTCACAGCGAGTTACAGTTATCACTAGGACTTCACAGCAAATAAAACTTGTAACTAAACATGCACAGATCATTATATATACAGTGATAAAAAAATAATGATGTACATTTTCTTGTAAGAAGAAATTAAGTAAATTCTTTGTGCATTTCAGGATTGAAACATCTAACCTATATAAAATTACTTTAAAATATGAAGTAAATATTTAACCCAAAACTTGAGAAATCTTTTGTAATCTGCAATATAGCCTTCTCATTTCCATTTTTCTTTCTCTGACACAGGACAACTTAAGAATTTTATCCTCTAAGATATTTAATAGTAATGTGCAGGTATAAAAAAATACGTCCTCTGTGGCAAGCTTGAACATATATATATATATATATTTACAATCCTCCAGAACAAATTAGCATTAAAAAACACAGAAGTAGCAGATTGACATAGTGCTTTATTTAAGCTGTCTGTACGAAGGAAAATAATGTGCATCCCTATCATATACGTGTAAAAATACTAAGGATGTACAGTGTACAAAAACAGTTTCTTGTAGTTATTTCACATCCTTGTGGGTCATATACTTAAGGAAATAAACAGTTTAAGTATGACCAACAGTAATACGGTTTCTTGGGTTCGTAGTCGTGTCTGCTTGATATCCTTAACCATATGACTAGATCTTGCATGGATCTAATGAAAGAACTAGCAAGGTCAAGAAATGTCACAAACTCTAAAGCTACAGGGAGGTAATTCAATTACCAATTTAGAGGTTTTTATTTAAATAAATACTTTACATTTCATGCTTGCCTGTAATGCACTACCAGGAGCAAGATAAGGAAATTCTACTGTAGACAGTACAAACAGTAGCAGCAAAGTGTGTACATTGAGGTGTAATATATAGACCCTGCAGTTAGTAAGGAAAGACCTTACTTTTGTACTCTAGGAGAAGCACATGGCCCCTGCAAGAACAGTCAGCTTTAAGAAGCCGCAAGTAAAGATGGAAAAAAAAGGTGAAACAATACTGGAATAAATGTTCTTTAAGCAACAGGAATGTACTGGAAGATGGATTAGTGTGGAAAGCGAAGCTGTGTGCAAAACTGCCAAAATCCAAACAGAATTGACCTATTTCCTGCGAGATGGCTGCAGTACGAGAGGGCATACTGTATGTCATGGAAGTCAGTACAAGCTGGAGTCAAGGTCTGAAATGTACTGTGCTCAAAAGGCTCACCAAGACAACCAGCCACCATCTCCTGTCCAAATTCAAACACAACCGCAGACAGCAAAAGAAGAGCTTCTAAAGTTTCCCTCAGCACTGCTTGTCCATTTCTCTGTCATCTGTTTCTAACACTGGTAAGACAGAATCCCCTGGGCCTGCGCAGCACAAGGTGGCTGCCGACTCTGCATCATAAACTGGATCACTGACGTTTCAGAAGGCAGACACTGCAATGCAAAGTGCTGTCTGAAAAGGTTTACAAATAGTTCACTGCCGGGCCCCTCCTGCAAACCACACACTACCTGGCTACGCAATGGAGAGCAAAGCACTGGGCATCACTGCCACGAGGAGCTGCTGGCCAGTGCCACAGCCAGTTGGCCACTGGCTGGAGGGGCCCTGTGCCAAGAAACTTATTGCTATGACAAGCTGAAAACATAGGGGAGAAAACACAGGCATGTAACACAGATTTTGAATCGCCATAGTTTCAGTCTGAGTACAAGACCTTTGCAGAGAACTAATTAATGCCCTTCTGTAAAGTACTTGGTTATTTCAGTCACTCGCTCACTGTGGCAGTGTAGACACCTCTACACCACCAGACCTGCAATGCATTTGCTGCTCTCCTCTCCCTCCGCACAGGGACAACATCTACACATCTTTAGTGTTACAGGGTGACACAATGAAATCCTATGCAGTTAGAGTATACATCATGATATATTTCTATCTGATTATCCATCCATTACTAAAGATAAAACACTAAACATGAAAAATTGTCTAAATTACTCTGCGTCTTTAGCTGCCTTGCTAAAATGCCCGTCTACCCCTTGACCATCCCAGCACATGCACTGCCAGCAGTGGGCTTCATGCTTGGGCACTCAACTTTCCACATCAAGAGGCTAAGGCATCTGTGTAGGAACATCTCTCAGACTCATCTACTCACTCACACAACGCAACCAGGAATACTCTGCAATATCACAGTCTTTGTGGGAGCTAACAAGAGCTGAACGCAGAGATACTTCCAATGATAATCCCACGGAGTCGGGGGTTCCCGATGTCGCCTGCAAGGCTGCGCGCGCTCTGTCGCTGCGCCGCGTCACGCCCCAGCTCCTAGCACCAAAGGGTTTATTATTAAGATTATCATTGCTGAAGATCAAAGCTAAAGTTTATGCACATGGTCTGTTAGATACAGATCTTCGGAAATGGAAAGACGTTTCCCTACCAGTGGAGCGTTTGCTGTGACGTTTGAAATTCAGTCAATCAGGTACCACGGTTACACATAACCTCTTGGGTTTTAGGACTCTTTTGGTTGAGGGCATATCTTCCTTGAGAATGGCTGATCCCAGAAATTTACTATTTTAATTGTTAAAATAAAGTGCTTTTCTTGTAATCACTGTGGTCTTGTTGTTCAAATGCAATTCCTTCATATAGAACAGACATCTTCTCTTGTGCTGCCAGGCTCTTGCATTATGTTTATCCTAAATGGAGCACAAGATGTAGCTTTTTTGTCTGTTCACTTTTAACCCTTTGGCACATGAGGTTGGAAATCCTCACCTCCA